CGGTCGCGCGTTCGACGCGATCGATGCAGTTGAATGTATGCGCATCGATCGTCGGATCGCGCGACCGAAGGCTGCCGTCGCGAAGTCTGAACGCTGCCTAAGGCCGCGTTCATACTTTGCGACCAAGGACGTTCGGCGTTTTTGCGATCCGGCGATTCGGAAGACTCGGCGTTCCGGGCGCTGCGCAGTATCGATTGGCACCGGTCCCTAGCGATTGCGAATATCGGTGTCCAACGCCTGACCTCCCAAATCGTTAACTCATCCACTCTCTTGAAGCGTAATCGCCCGAGACGCCGAGCCTCGCAAATCGCCAAACCTCAGTCGCAAAGTATGAACGTGGTCTAAGAGACCTAACCGTATGTTTAAGAACCACTTCAAAGTGACCTCGGTAACAACCACTATGTCGTAAAAAACGCTAACTATGCCAATATTCCGGAGAGTGATTCATTCCTTCTTTCCTACATTTTCATCCCCTCCTATAAACTTTTTGCAAATCTCCTTAACATTTCATCTGAAAGAATGGGTTTCGCCCCGAACGCATTGAATGAATTGACCCCCACGGCGTAGAAGGAAAGATTCATACCTGTTGCCCTTGAGGGGCTCGAGGATCCGTCGTATAAGTGGTATAGGTTAAATTCTGGTTCATCTGAAATATACACATTTCATTAAAAACTATTGCAGTAGACGGCACAATAATCGTAAGTAATCGAGACAGTTGAAAACGAATGCATGAAAATTAAGTCTGCCTAACAACATGAAAAAAATAGTAATCTGCTGAAATAGTTTGTCAACAAAAACACAACTTTCAATAAATATGATACGTAAATAAGAAAATATGCGCGCTGATATTCTTGGGGGGAACAGCTGTAAGAACTTGTTAGCACATTCATTCCCGTAAACTGTATACGTGTGAATACCAGATAACCTTGTCAACATCCTGTAAGCCTTGTTATTACCTGTCAAGCACCGTGAACACCTGTCAAACTTTTCAAAATTATCGGCCAAGATTTGAAAAAAAAGGAGAGAAGTGGCGTTCAAATGACGCTGGTATTATTTATGACAGGAGTTTACAGGGTACTTGACAGAAAATTGACAATTTTATTAGCTGCTAAAATCCAACACAACTGCCTGCAGATGCTATTTTTGGCTTGCTCCAAGTTTTTTAATACTGTCTGGAAAAAATGTTTACAAAGTATACAGTAAAAAGGTCTGCGGGGCAAATGTCAGCTCTTTTCAGCTCATTTCGAAACTATTCCGTAACTGGTCTTCAAAGAGAACTTGTGGAGGGAATTGATGAACTTTTCTCCGTTCTCATCATTCTTTC